GCCCAGGGGTTGTCTTGGTCCCCAATTTTTAAGGCAGGTAAGAATTTCCTTTCAAGAAACGTAATTCACAGAACCAATTTACTCAATCTGTGCTTTTTAAAAAGTTTCAGTTAAGATGTTATTTAATGAAAAGAGCAGGATTACTTCAGGAACTTACTTATCTTCTCAAGGAAACTGCTCAAGAAATCTCAACTTCAAAATTATTGAGCATTTTGTTTTTCATAGCACAGTACAAGAGAGCCTGTGTAACAGAACCAGCTGAAACATCGTATTTTCTTGGACAGTTACAGAGCATACAGCTAGCTCGGGACTATCTGCACAACTAGCAAGTGGCTTCAGGAGTACTCTATTGTGTATGCATTTCTTTCCTTTAAAAGTTATGTATGCTCTTTGACCTGGTATCTGTTGTAAACTTTCAGACTTTCAAGAACCTAAGACGACTGTCACCATCCCTGAGAATGAGTGTGGTCCAGTTACAGTCTGAAGCTTCGGTTAAGTTTACAGCTGTTTGTTTGATTCTGTTTAAGAACCAGATAAACTTCCTTCAGGTGCATTCACCGAGCATGTGTATATTGTGTGTTAAACTACTTTTTGTTTATTAAATTTTGGAACTGATGACATTTGAAATCGAGTGGTTTGTATTAGAGTTGCTTCTGCTACATAAATGCACTAAATTATTCTTTTTGCATTCCTTACTGTTTTAAAGCACCTGTGCAGCACTTAAGTTTTCCTGGATTGGTGAGTGTCTGGAAAAGTCAAAGCATAAGTGAAAATCTGCCTATATGTGGTGCAAGGACTCAACCAAAAGTTTCTAAAAGCAACGCATAGACTCTGAATCTGGTTGGGGCAAAAAACATTAGTATCTAAACGTGCAAGTTTCCCTTTTTAAAATTACTGTGAAATTCTTAGGATCATGAGGAAGAGAAGTAAACTTTTTAAATAAAACTGATGTAGCCTGATGAATTAACAAAACATCAGGTTTGTGAGACTTTGAATGTAGATGAATCTCCTCTTAGAGAAACAACGCCATCTGCTCATAGTATTCTAAAACTGGAGGGCAAGCTTAGAAACGTAGCACGACGAGAAGGTGAGACCAACAAACCCACTTGCTGCCAGTAAGTGAAAATACCACATTAATACAGTACAGGCAACTCCGAGATGCTCATGTAGACGATCCCCCTTGTTACTTGGAGGCGTTACTAAACACTATCTGGATAATGATTTTAGGCTTGCTTATCAGAAAGGAGAGTGTGTTTAGAAAACTCCTAGCCTTAAAAGTCAACTCCCTACTCACCAAACTGCAGACAAAGCAGAGCCACAGTGCAGCTTTCAGGCACGGGTGCAGTATGAGCTATCTGTGGCGCCAGTGACTCTCGTACAAGTAGGCTTTTCCCTAGGCTCGTCAGTTACTTGCACACGATCATGCGGTGCTGTACCCGAGGAGGCCTGTGGTAGAACTGATGTATTTTTAAATGTTGCTCCTTTTTACCCCGTGGTTCCAGTATAACCTTGGACGTGAACAGGAGTGACATGGCAGCGTTTCAGTTCCATCTGATTAGCAGTCGCTAATGTGCGCAGCGGTATGGAACCAAACTAAGAAGTAACTTAAAGCATAATCGTGAATTCCACCCTCTACCCCCAGTCTTATGACCAACATCATCCTTACGCTCCCTTCCTTCGTCGTCTCTACAAACAGCTGCAGCAGTGTTTATTTAATGGTTTTTAAACTTTCACAATTCTTAAAATTCATTCCAAAAAGGCTGAACTGTCAGCCTGCGTTTTTCTCCAGTAATTGTCCCAGAATAGTTCTTAATAAAATCACCACTAGAATTTTTTCCACAGTTCTAGGTAATTGCAGCTGAAATATTACTCCAGGGAATGACTTTTTCCATTAATATTTAAGGCCTTTTCATGCTCCCAGAGAAGACAAGATGCACAACACCCGTGCCAGCCAAGTCCTTACTGGCTCACTCTACGGCGGCTCATTTCCCATCACTTACCTTTCAGATAGCGCAGTAGAAGGCCACAGAAAACTGAGTAGTGAAATTACTCTCTAGCTGTTGAATGCAAGTGCGTCACTCTACCTCTTTCCCACTTACACAAATATTGTAAAAAATATCAAGTTTACTTTATGAGTCAAACCAATCTCCTTAACTCCATGGGGTATAAGAAATATGCTTCCTTTTCATGGGAATCCTCATTAAAATAATTGCAATACCAAACAAGTTTCAGGAAGTTTTTTATTTAATGGTAAAACCAAAAGTTTGTTCTTTAAAACAGAGTGCTAATTCAAGACATTATTAGCTCTTCAAATTAGACGCAGTGCCATTTTTTCAGTTTAAGAAAACAATAATGCTATAAGGAAGATTTTTCTAACAAGGTTATTTCCTCAATATTAAATTTCACAGTTCGCTCTCAAAAGGACTGCTGAAAACAATGATTTAAATACAGTTGCTTGTTAAATTGATCTTCTGTGGTGGGATATAGCTCTCATATCATACAGTTCCAGTTCTGATGAGGAATTAGAACGTCCTCCTCAGGTACAACCCCTTTTTCATTACACACAGTTTCTAACTCTCCAAGTCTGCCTGGCACAGTACCCTGGCATTGAGCGAGCACTGCAAGCGCATCGTGTCCTTTTAAAACTGCAACAAAACCCTGCTTCTTCCAGTCTGAAAGCTACAGCTCTTCATACCACTTCTGTAAATGCGGTTACGTTGCAGTTACGCACAAACGAGTTACTAGCCCAACAGGCAATATAATGTAAACAAAAGCATTTCAAAATGCTGTTACAGACAGCGAATTTTCTTTCATAGAGAACTTACATCTACATTCCACTAGGTCTGTGAACAGAAACACTTCAGAGCCAGCTCTATCTATAGGCATAATGCACTTTTCAAAATATATTCATGAGGCAAATAGCCACTTTACCTAACATACGACATCAAAGACTGCTGAAAGGAGCCTTTGACACATGCGTGGTCCTTATGAAACAATAAATAAATACCTCAAACAAATGCTTGCTGAGCATCTGTTACTACAAATATACAACATACAAGAGTAGCAAAAGCTGTTTGGAAGTTTATTCAACTACAACACTGACAAGACACCAAGTACGAAACTTCCTTCTTCAGCAGAGTCCACGCATGAACCAGACAACCTCAAACTAAGGTTTTCTAACGTGCTATTTTCTGTCGGAGACTTACTACAAACACAGTTTTGACCTACCAAACTGACAAAGGCTAGAAGCACAATTTTTAATCCACAGCTGGACAATATTTAGATTTGTTCCTGTCTTGAAACGTACTCGCTTCATCTTCTAAAGAAATTACACAGTAATTAGAAAGCGGCAGTGATGCATAGGACTGCTTGTTAAACGCTTTTCCAGTATGGTTCAGTACTAAACTCAGAACTATTAGTAAATGCTGCTTTGTTTGTAGAAGAGTAAGGCTTAACAAAACAGATGTTGAACTCATTAATCACCGTGCTGTTCAGTCATACTACATGTGGTGCAGCGGGGGGAGGGGACCCATCCTTAGTTAATACGTGTCACTGGGCACAAGGGGTGAGCCTGACAAAGTACTATCCTCTCCACCAACAGAACACAGATTAAGTGAGTGCAGTACGTAGAAAAATGCTAATTTAGAAATTAGCAAAAGCCATTAACAGCTTAAAAACTTTACAAACTAAACTAACTTACAGCAAGCTGATTTCCGTGATCTTCTTACTAATGCTCTATGCATACTTTCAGTATTGAGGCTCTGCTGAAACATTTCCATTATGAATAGGTTTTTTCCATACATCCTTTTGTAACCTTCAAAACCAATTTGTTTCATAAACTGCATTAACCTTTAAAGGTATATAAGCCAGCCAGTGGCTAGTCAAATTGAAGAAACGAGAATAAAAAGAAAAAAAAAAACAAAACCAAAACCCACCTCAGATGCGGTTCTGTTTATACAGTATCTGCTACTGTTCCTAATACTATCTTGTTAGTTCTGTTCTTCAGTTTCCAAACAATTCAAACCAGATTATTTTTCCTTCCGTAAGTGCCCTCAAGAATGCAGTCAGCACGCAGAATTCCTGCCGGGTGTCAGCGACACCAGGTGTTACCAGAGCCTGCGTAACCAAGCGCGCAGGATAAACTGCAGGTGCTCGGTCTCCTCAAGATCGGGTATATTTTTTTGGAATTTAAAGCCAGAATTTTGAAGACATTCTCTTACATGACTGTATAAAATGCGCATGCAGATACTAAATACAGAGGCACAGAAAGACAAAGGAGAACGTGTAACATAACGTAAACACTCCGAACCAGATCAAAGTTGTTTCCGAACAGCTGTTGGTCACGAAACATTTGCGTAATACAAGGTACTACTATGGAGGAGGCGAAGAGAATAAAAAAGTGGTCTGATGCTGTGCAATCAATTTCTTTTTCCAAAGGAGCTCAGCACAATTATCATATGACATATTTGAGCTTACTCGCATTCCTCTTCCCGTTACTCAGCCACCTTTTGCTCTGAAGTCTGTTTAGCATTAAAAGCAGGACATGCAGTGCGCAGAGCATCATCTCACACGCCTGTGACAAATGCAATACTGTAAGCAGGTGTGCGTCAAAGAATGAAGCAGTGGAATGTTTTAACGTGGTAGTAAGTTCTACAGTGCATCCACAGACGTTGTTACTGGAGCTGTTAAGACTCCTGCAGTGCAGGTAAGGAAAGGAACTAACTGGAAATGCTTCATAGCAATTCCAGGTAAATCCTCAAATTATTTCAGGAAAAGGTGGTCTTTTTCAGACTGGTGGTTGCGCGTCTTCTAGGAACTTTTCAGAACTTCTTTTCTTCCAAAAACAACAACAACAAAAAAAATCATTCTCTTATCTTGAGATGTAGAAGAAATAGGAATAGTATATATATGTTTTTACAATAACATCCTTCACATAAGGAGGGAAATTCTAAGTCTTCACAGAAGGAAGGCAGTCTACTTTGATTAACTTCATCGTAGCCTCAGTTCAGTCCCATACCTTGGAATTTGGCAGTCTCGGTGCAAACAAAGTAAGTCCTCAGTTCTCCCTTGCCTTTGACATTAATGAGTCCCCTACATTCACATGAATATCCCAACTCCTGGAGTATTTTACTTGTTTCTTCTGTGACCTTTGTGTGAAAAGAATTGGAAACTCTTGTGAAATTCCTCTGATTATTCACATTTTTAAAAAAATCCATAACCAATTAGAAATAATTTCTCAGACATTCCAAGGCTCATATGTTTACCTGGATTTTCCCAAGCTCCCCTGTACTCTCCATTCGGCTAGCAACATTAACAGTGTTGCCCCAAATATCGTACTGAGGTTTCCGGGCACCAATCACACCAGCAATCACAGGGCCGTGATTTATCCCTGTATAAACAAAAGCAGGTGTCATTCCTGAAGTAGAAAGTTACGTGATATATCGCTTCATTATTAGCCATAAGTCATGTGCTTCAGGGAAAAAAAAAAAAACAAAAAACAACACAAAACTTAACCCTGCAACGCAATTCTAGCAATCAGTATTGCCGTTGTTCTATAAATATTAGTACTAAGGCTCAGAAGCGGTGAAGTGACTCATTTGTTGTAAAATGGGAAGTCCCAGACAGAGCTAGGGCAAAGTTCATGCCAAAGCAAAATTCTTCCTTTTCTCCTTTTAAAATATAGAAATAAACATTTGTATAATGACAATACTATCTTCAGTCAACAGTTAATAACAGGATACCTCCTCTCTTCATCTGCCCACCCGTGAAGGAGCTCGGCATATGTAAAAAGCTAGACTAGACAACACAACCTTCAGCTATTCAGCATTTTATAACAACCCAAATACTGTGTTCAGTATTAAGAAGGGCTCCACAGCACTTAGCAATTTACCTGAGTCATCCTACCTCATTTTTAATATTCACGGAGCTGCAGAGTTCACGGTCTTCACAAACCGAACTTACCAATACGTAAGCGGAAATTGTTAAAGGAATGTCGGTTGATGCCATCCAGTTTACTCATCAAGGCAATTCCATATTCCACCATAATCCCAATGTGAGCATGCTGTCTTTCCTTATCCTACACAATTTATAACACATATTAATGATCAAATTACAACAGAGAAGGTTGTGTCAGGCTACTATTCCAAACCAGCACTATTGTTGAATAAAGTATACATTTATAACGATGAGACCACTCATCCTTGTAACTGTGCAGAATTGCACAGTTCAACAAACAATCAAAATGGATTTTAAAAAACCACATTAAATTAAATTGGAATGGCTAGGAAGCAACAAGCATGATATGATTAAATTTTATAACCAATTTATGTCTGTCCTTTAGGATTCCAGATTTAATTTTACACATTTTGTATATATTACACATAATGTCATACACAAACCTGCTGTAGTGAAAGTGAGCCTGAGTAGAGAATTTGGTTTTAATTCTTCTGGGTGACAAACAGTTTCAGATTCAGATCTAATGTGGCACTTGAGGATTCTCTTTTTATGCCAGTTCTCAGGTATCACAAAAAGCTTACTGTCCAGTTCTGAGATGGCCTTTTCTTTGGCAGCCATTCTTTGACTTCCCTGTTATTAGAGCTATTCTGTTATGCATCTAGAAATGTTAAGCTACTGGAATCAAAGATTAAAGATGTAAAAAGTAAGCTGGGGTTACAGACTTAATACCCGCTTAGGAAAAAAAATGGAACTAGGAGATAAGTAGTGAATTCAACAGGAGACAATACACTTCCATCATCTTTTTCCACATTTCAGAAAGTCACTCTTGGTGATTTACTTGCTCTTTTATAACACATTACATTTTGTTACTTTGAAATGCACCTTCGTACACACAGAATACCGAAGGCAGATTTCAAAGACAACATACCTGGTTGTTCTCTTGGCCTGGTGTAACACTGAGACCAGCTGCTGCCATGTAAGTGCTTCCAATGGTTTTTATTTTTTCAACACCACTAAATTTAGGTTTTAACAAGAGCTGTTTGAAGGGAAGGAAAATAGAAACTTGAGACTTTAATACCATATTTCAGTGTGGGATTTAACCAGAAATCTTAATACTGTCTACAGCAAGCATGAAACATCTCTAGGAATACTATCAATCACACGAAGGTTAGATAAGAAAGTACTGAGGATTAGTTTCACAGTTATGCTCTACCTGCTCATAGCAGAAATAAAAGCACTGAAATACAGAAATAAAGTCCCGAAATTCACGACTTTCAAACCCTACTACTAATGCATTAGACGATGTAATTGAAAAACCCCATCAGATGGGATTATATCTTTCAAGATTCCAAGGCTGAACTCAGAATATTAGTTCAGCATAACAGCCTTTTTTCCCCCGTCTAATGCTCACAGATCTAGTGAAACATTTTATTTTGTAGTAAATATGTAATCCAGTCCATTTTTGCCAGAACCTTAATTACCTCATCAAAATCAGCAATGATTTCATTTAACAGCCGCAAGCATTCCAGGCCTTCTTTATTGACATCACATTCAGTATAAAACACCTTAAAATCTGGCACCGATGCAAACATGACACAGACACAGTCATAAGATTGATGGTACCAGTCCTACAGGAAAACAATACATTCAGACATTGTCAGCAGTCACCTTCCACCATAGGTATTCAAAACGAGGATTATTGTTTGTAACCAGTAATCAAATGACAGTTTTCCTATGAAGTCAACTACAGTACTTTACAGTGGGCATCTCTTATTTTATCAGAAACATTAACAAAGTTGATTTGCCTAAGGAAAAGCTGAGATATCTTAAAGATTCTCATCTATTCTGGACAGTGCCAGACTTATGACTCTTACCATGGCTGTGAAATCAGGAATATTTATTCTGATGACATCCTGGCAGAATAAGATGGATGTCTTAAAAAAAAATAAAGCATTATCGATGAACTTCTCACTGGGATTGTTACCAAGGAGATACTATTTGTTCCTCAACTAACTTCTTTAAAAAGAAGGCCTACCTCCTCTGGTAAAATACGGTCTTTGGAAAGCAGTAAATCCTTTTTAAATATTTGCCAAACTCGAACTGTGTCCTGAAGCTGAACTACCAATTCTGAAAACAGATTTCAGAGACTGATACTAGAAGTTCGCATTTTTTTTTGAGGCCATCTGGATAGCAGATCCTTGGGTTTACAAAGATCTTGGAACACAAACAAGGGGCAAAGAGTGCAGAACCTTATAGTCTTCTGTGTGCTTGTTAGCATGACGTTCTCTGTCACAGAAGTCCAGTTTACTGTCCTTCACATAGTAGAGATTAAACATACCTCATTTCGTTTTTCACCAATGAAATAGGCAGCAACGTGTGCTGGAAGTACATTTTCCAGCAAAAGCCTGTTAACATTCTCCATCGTTTCAAACTGTTCATGTTCTTTTTTAAACTTATTCTTCCACAGACAATCCAGTCGACAGTAATAGTCAATCTGCAAAGGGACCAAATATGATAAATTAAATCCATATAGTATCTCGCTGAAAAATATTAGTCAATTTATTCAAAAAGTGTAGTAGCAAAAAAGTTTCTTTGAGGCATTTTAAGCCTATGTAGTTACGAAAAACATGCTTTGAGAATGAAGGTCAGAAAAATACAAAGCAGTCAGTGTGAATTAATGTCATTTGGGTACCATCAGGTGTATTTACCAAAATGACATTTAATAATGTGGTGATTATTTTTATCTTGAATTACTGCCTTGATTTAGGATGAATATTGACATATAAATACAGATAGATCCAAATTAGAAGAATTTGAAAGTTCTGACTTCCGTAATGCAAACACTATTGAAAAATGTCAAAATTTCCCACCCTTTCCCAGTAAAAATTTTTGCACTACCTATAACCAAGTACAAGTAAGTACATTATCTACAACTAAGTACAAGAATATAAAAAAAGATTAAAATATATACTAATTTAGTGCAAAATTTCAATGAACAGTACTTTTGCTTTTTAGTTAAATCAACATGCTGCAAGTGAAAGAACTAACCTATTGCTTTTTAAGTACATACCTGCTTTGCAAGTAAAATTAGGGTTATGTAAAACAGAATCAGGTATAAACTAGTCATTTTCCTTGGCTCTTTGATGAAAAGACTGAAAACAAGAAAGCAATACAAAGTCATCTGTATCGTTTAAGAAAATCCACATGATTGGGGGGGGCGGGAAAGAAGAGCATAGTAGAAGAGGGTGTCATTGTTCAGACATACACCACCAATGCCATTGTTCATTTGTGCCAGTGGCTGGCAGGTTATAGGTCCTACCCTAATAACAAGAAAAGATTATCATTCAGTTCAGTATATGAACTGTGTTTCATGTAATGACGAAATGGGTGCTGAAACCTCATGAAGTAGCTATTGTAGTGAGATGTTCAAGTAAATGTGGCTTTATCTTAATGCAGCCATCTTCATTTCCATTGAACTGAGTTGCAGCTTTCCTCCCCACACCGCCCCACAAAAACACAGCCAACAAAATCCTGAAGTAGGAAAAGAAACTTTCTTATTTGTGGAAGGAAAGATGATAACAAATAAAAACCTGAATTGCTAAAACAAAGACAGCCATTAAATCACACCTGTATATAGGTCCATACAAATCTGAGACGCCACTCTCATTTCATAGTAAGGTCAGTCTGTCTTACCACATCTATTAATTTTCACAAATGCATCAAACTAAGTTCTCATTACATTAATAGCCTGGGATTAAGAGGCTAAATTAAGAGCTCATTTAGGCTTTTTTAAGCTGTGCTGACAGCTCACAGTTAGCCTCTACGACATAAATTTATCCTCATCTTCAGCTATGAGACTATGCTGAGAATCTGAGAAATAGACTTACAAATGAACAGTAAAATCCTTCCACATATGGTTTCTCTTAAGTATTTTTATGGTTTCTTCAATTAGATGAGGTAAATCGATGTTACTTTTCAAAATACGTGCAGTTAGTGAGGTAAGTAAATGAAAAGTTCACTATCCTATTGACTAGCAAGGTCTCACAAGCACAGCTTGAGCATCAGACTTTTAGCAAAGCTTTTCTTCATAGTTTAACAGAAGATCAATCTTATTATGAGATTAATATTCTACCCTCTATTCTTTAATGTAAGCTAAGATTCCAGAGGTCTCAGAAGCAATATTACAGAATTTTTCAGAAAACACACACTTTCTCTGGGGGGGTGTGGTGTGTGTAATATGGTCTAATATGATTTCCATGTCATTAACTTTACAGAAAGGATGGTAATGTCTTGACTTACTGGAATATTGAAATATCAAAATCATGTAAGTGTACAAAAATCTAACGCCTCCTTTAATGAAACATTATTGTCAATTATAAGGAACTTTACACTGCACCTGGTACGGTTGTCACAGAGGTTCAAGTTTCCATTCTGAAGGGTATTAAAAATGATGAGGTATACAGTCACAGCAATGGACAGGAGGAGAACTTTGAGTTCGAAGCTCATTTGAAGAAATACCGAGCAAGCAATGAACCCCAATATGCAGCAGTAAGTATAATACTGTAAAAGAAGAATTTAAAGAGCAGTTGCATTATTCAGGCTTTATGCATAAGAGACTTTCAAACCATAGCAAATGCTCTAAGTTCATGATCACTGTAATTTAAATAGAAGAAATTACCATCACTTGCTAAATACACTTAAAGCTTTATTTTTAATTGCACTAAAAGGCTGAACTTAATACTTTAGTTTACTTGTTTGTTAAAGACAAACAAAAATATTTAAACAAAAAGCATCATACCAACATAAGCAGTGTCAGATAAAAACTGAAGTGTGTTGAGAATTTATCTTCTGAAGTCTATTAATTTAAGCAATTATTTATTTAAAGGTCCAAGACTAACCTAAAGTAGGTTCATAGTCCGGTGAACAGGCTCTGAATGAGGAGCTCCAGCATTCTGGTCCTGTTTTTGTCAGTGCTCCCCCTTTGTAACCTTAAGCAGATACCACACTCCCATCTCCCCCACCTGTAACATGTGAAGGCCCTGACCTGTGCTCCAACCTTAGACACAGTTCCTTCATAAGAACTTTGATGCTAACAAGCTTTATCAAGCTAGAGCCATTATTCAATGGAATTACTGAAAAATCTCCCAGAGGAATCACAGGTCAGGCATGGCGTCCAAGGTCAGCACACCGCTGGGAGCATTAAAACTCTCAGGTGGTACAAAGTCCGTTGCACAGACAGGATTGCTCCCTGCAGCCGCAGGCACAGGTATAAGATACTGAGATAGCATACTTCAGTCTAGAAACAACTCCAAAATTGCCTCAGCTTCTGCTCCTCAAGAGTTTATTTCTCTTTATGTACAAAGCACAGTTTTTCACCCGTAACAGCACAGACCTACCACAGATCTGGGAGATTCTTAGCTAAACAGTTAACGTTTCTGCTGAAGTGAATGAAACCAGAACAATTTATGGGGCAACTCAGGATCAGAGGCCGTATAGTAATGTATTATACCAACTCTGTCATCCTAAAGGCATTGAATCTAACCTCCAAAAGGTAATGAACACTCACAGTTATAACCCTGAAGCCAAATCTCTGAAAAAGAAACCGCTACATAGAGAACACTGACACAGGTCTGTTGGCCCTTTCACTCTATCAAGATACTTTACTGGAACACTTGCAAGTACAGCTCTTATCTCTCAGACTTGAACGTAAACATCATCCTGTTCTACTGCTTTTTCCTCGAAGTTTTAGATCTACTTTTAAGTCAGAACTTTCAAAAAATTGCAAAGCCGTACTTCAGCACAGCAACAGCAGCTGAAACATCTTGATTTCATGAAGAACTTTTCTGCTGTCAGATACCTAAAAAAGCTGTGTTTTATACAGCAACAGAACCTGCCAGTTGTCAGTAATACATACAATATTCAAAGATCTGGATTTTAAAGTAACATGTATTCACTACTTACAGTTTCCTCAACGCAGGACTGAGTTGTGTTTCCAAAAGGCTGATTTACAGACATGCAAGAACAGAAAATTACCAGATGAGTACAATGTGCATGACAGAGCTGTAACTTATCATTTGTCATAAGGACTTGAATGAAAGGGTCCTCACACAACCTGCTGCGCATTGTTCAAAAACATCTCCATCATCTAAAGGGGCAGCAAGGTGACAAAGAGGCATCCCAAACATTTGGATGATCTCAAAATAGGATGCTACTTTGGAATTAGAGAGATAAAAAAATGAAACCCTCAGAAATAATCCTTTTGTGTCATTAGTAAGTGCTGAATCTATCCTTACAGAAATGCTAGAGAACACCTTTCAAAGGTGCTGAGTAACCAGAATAAGCCAAAACTTCAGCTTTATCCATGAGCACTCCAGACTTTCGAAAATCCCTAAAAGATGCACAGCAAAGCCATAGCTAATGATAGAAAATATCCCTAGAACTGCCTTGTGGCATGAGTAAGTCTTTGTGTTCAACGATTTTAAAATTCTATCTTTATAAAAAGATGAAAAGATATCAAAATGCTGCCATCCCTCTATATTATACACACCATCCAAGACTCTTTTCATTTTAATCTTAGAAATTAAGACGGTACTCTACTCACATAGATGGTAGCACTCAGGTCACTTGATCCAGTAAAGTTTGCAGGTTTGTTGTTTTCAGTAGTCTTGAGTTATTGAGGGGAAAAAAAAAAAAAACAAAACAAAAAAAACCACCACAAAATAACAACAAAACCACCATACAAACTTGTTAGCAGGTAGTCACTAATTTAAAGTTTTTCCTCTGTATATTACATAATGAGTCCTGATCTGACTGCCCTTTCAGTGCTACTGCAATATAAATGTTGAAATACAATGATATCCCATATAGTTGTATTAAACATATATGCACACACAAGGTGCAAGAAGGTTAAAATTGCCAAGTGTTTACTTACTTATTTTTTAATTTGGGGTAACGTTTCACATTATAGCTATGCTAATCTAACAGCTAACTGGCACAAACATGTGGTTCTGTCTCACCCCCCAGTTTCACAGCTGCTCTTCCTGGTTTCTTTTAGGCTGTCCCTAGTGGTGTTCACTTGACACCGCTGTGAGTCAGTTCAAGGACCCATGCCAGCAGAAAAACAACCCTACAAAAGAAAATTAAACATTTTCTGCAGTATAGCTTTCAGAATAAACTCCCCATGAAATCAGAAGAATGGCAGACCAAGCACGTGGGATCAGAAAGACATCACCTTTAGTAGCTGGCTATCAGATAGGTTTAACTGTTAACATGATGTGTCACATAAAGCTTGTTTAAAAAAAAACCACAACAGAGTGATGTTGAGCATGACGTTACTCCAAAGGGTTGTTTTTCAAATGTATGTACCCTAGGTGCAATACAATACTCAAAATTAAAAGACAGATGCCATTTGCATCTTAGTCTAGCAGTAACTACCCACCATGTCTTTGGTTTTAAAAAAGAGCCAAGCTATATTCTTCCCTCCCCCATCTGCATTATTACTAGCTAGTGCAAATAGCACAGTAAACTGCTTAAAACTTCTACCCACTACAGCCAAACATTTAAACCCACATTAAAAAAAAATGGAAGACCATCTTAGTGATGAGGGTTACAAGCAATAGTAATTATAAATGGCATCTTGAAAGGAAGAAAAAGTAGTGCAAACTACAACTCAAGCCTATCACATGTACTTTTAGTTCTACAAACTGGGATTTTTTACTTTTAATGCTTTTACATGACATCGTGCATTATCCTTGTGTAAATCAACTCATGTTGCGAATCAGACATTAAAAAAAGCAGCAAAAAGCATGGTACTTGATGAAAAGCATACAGGAAGTTACTTAAACTGTGGATGTTACAGTAAATTCACAGAATAAAGATAATGTGATTACTTACGAAATTAAAAATGGCTATAATCAGCAAGGCACCTATAGTGATGACCGCTAAAGGAAGCCTCAGTAAAGGCATTGTTTCCACCTTTTCTGAGATAGCACAAAGATGGCGCAGGCAAGGCCACTGTTCTGGGCAGCACTTCTGTAAGCAAAATTAGTTTGTTTCAGTAACATGGATAATGCTTTGATACACGGGAAGAAATATTTCTAAATATAAAATACTTTTTCTCTGCAGGAGAGTGTCAAGAGTCTTCACTGGAATCCTAATTTAGAACTCTGAAACTAGTCATTCAGGTTAAATGCCTAATGCCTTTCCACCACTGAAAACAGAGATAATGCTTCCTTATTTCAAAGAGGCTGGGTACTAAAATTTTCTGCATTTCTGCTTTAAAAATACAAAATTATGATCTGATTGATTCTAGAGAAATGTTACTAAAAATATAGTAACAACCTATGTCGTATTTTTTAGTTATAGAGCTGTAATTTTATATTTGGAACTACATTTTCAGATGACTAAAATGAAACCAATCATAGACAGTCCCCTTTCTTGCCATCCTTACATCCTCCATTTGTTGCTATAGAGAAAAACATCTAGTAAAGCATATACTTTTAACGATTGCAAGCATTATTCAAGGACGCTACACCAAAACACTCCCACCATAAAACTCAAGTCTGATGCAATTGCAATCTTGGAATTTTCTTTTTCTCTTCTCCATGAGTTTTTACATACGTAGAAACCATATGCGCATACATATACACACACCTCTCTCTCTCCATAGACAATATATATACACACATATATATAAAAATCCATCCACTCATATATATATAAACACCATACATATATAAAATCCATACATGCCATCTAACTGTACTTTTAAATTAATCATAAACCTTTAACCCATGTACAGAGTGCAATTTTTTTTTTTCTTTCCCTTTTACACAACTTGAACCTGGCACTGTAAGAGACCGTTTCTGTGGCAGTTTTCCTGGGAGACCACCATCACCACTCTGCAAGATGATAGCGGCATGTTCTCAACAGAACATGAGAATTCCCTCTCACCCTTGGCCTAGCACAACATAGATTTGATGAGTGTAAGGAACTCTCTGAAATCCCTTCCCTCTCCCACCCCTGCCTCCAGATAGTTCTTGGACTGGAGAAGGATTTTTTTTTATTTTGTATCGTTGAACTCTATGTCACTATGGGCTGTCTCTATGTCACTTTCTACTTTTAAACAGTAATTGCATACATTTAATAATGCAAAGAAAAAGGAACTAAAAATGCAAAGTGTCCTAATTGATGTAACGGTGAATTTGGAATTTTAACAGCTATGAAATCATTGCCAATAAATTATTCATATGTTTGTAATTTTCATGGGGCTTTATAAATGGTTATGAAAACCAATCTTGCATTCAAACTTATTTTGATTCTAATATTGTTTCCAGTATAGAAAATATCAGGATTTACAACCAAAATTACTATTAAGGACAAACATAAAAATAAAAATAAATTTTAAAAACCCAGCCCCACTCAGCACATGTTAATAGCTTCCTCCTCCCTCCTATCCATCTATTTTGGCACCCAAATAATTCTGAATTACAGTGAGAATTTTCAGACATGAAAATCTGTTTCAGGCAGTGAAATCTTCTGGTAACCTGAGGTTCAAGGCTCACATCCTAAAAGATAGACCAAGTTGCTGAATTACATCCATCCACTTTCGAAAAGTTTTTTGTTTTCTTTTTTAAAAAAAACTTACCATAAATTTCTCAGCAAAGCACACAAACAAAATAAGTACAATGATGACTGCAACAATGCCAAAGGAAATTCCTAGTTTTGCAGTTCTAAACAGAAGAGAAAGCATTAAACAAGCCAGTATTAAATGAAAAAAATTTTCAAACCGCAATTCAGACTAATGTTTGCTAACAGTGTTTCTCTAAATTTAAATAGAATTTTTCTTCTAATAGTACTGGATGACCATAACAGTGCACAGGTTATTGTTGCTGTGTTGCACAAATACTACTTTAAGATATTCTACTCCTCGCTGACAGCCTGAACCACTACCCCATGCATAAACCACATGGACATTGCACTGCAACAGCCATAAAACCCAAATATGTCAAAAACTTCAGAATTATCAAACATCTGCTTTCCTGGAGGCATGAGAAGAAGCTCAAGGTTCCCTCCTTGTATCTCTACAGACAAAAGGATCACTGAGCACACTTCAACCAGCTAATCCCATTTTTCTATTGCTCACTCAATGTGTTTACAGTAAACTATTCTTATAAAATAGTATTTCTCACTTAACTGACCATCTCCCTGTGTGTATTAAGCAAACACGATATTAAAGAAATATTTCTATTTTATTTTCATACTGATATCTAGGCTCTTACGCCAACAACGTGAATGCACTCCTTTATTAAGGGGTAAATTAGTCCTAAGAGGTATATGTTTCTTAAATGTAAACCCTCAGGAACTCCAAAAGACTTTAAAAAGTCTTTTAAAGTCTTTAAAAAAACATGAGTTTCACTTTAGCTATTGGTTAATTTGAACTATAAATTATTAAAATACTGACACTTACTTTGGCATTATAAACATCTGTATCAGAAATATACAGAGGAACACAAAACTGGCACATGCGAAGTAGCTCTTCAGTTTTAGAATAGGAATGGTGCGATACTGAAACACAGATTGTAACAAATCTTAAGGATAATTCCACTTTCTTTTTAAATTCTGTTACATTTTTGTGATGACACATATATGCAAATTTATACTGTACTATTAAAAATATACATAGAACTAAAAGAGAACAAAAGAAAACCATCAAATAAAATTCACTTCAACATCTGTCAAGAAAACAGCCCAGTCCAACGGATAATTTCAAACCTAGAGGGAAATCCACCGAGTATGTAAATCAGCACTTCACAGATACATGTAATCAAAATCCTTCTAAAAAAAGGATATACACAGAAGTAAACTCAAAGTATACACACACACACACACACACACACACACACACACACCCACCAGTAACTACATACAGCACACCGCAGCACAGTAAATTAAAGAACAGTTATTCGAACAGAAAAAGTACACTGTACCTAACAAATAACAGTATTATACTTGCAATGAAACAACCATAGAAAGCAAAGTATTTCCATTATGGATGCAGGAAAACTTTTTTTTTTTAAATCTCATTACTTTTGAGAGAAGTTCTTCATATAGTGAAGACGCCAAACTCCTACTAAATCCCTTATGGCAAGAATTTAACCACAGATTAGAGACAATCTCCTTTAATCTACAGAATTCGCATTCTCAAGGAAGAATGACCAACTCAAATCATGAGATCTGCTTTCCATTAGTTACCTAAAACCTCTTTGGATGTGCAGTCACCTCTAAAATCCAGTTTCAGAAGGAAAACACATGGTTTCAAATATATTCTTATACAGCTCTGAAGTGCAAATCAAAGACCAAAAAGGATTATTTTGCTCTTACCAACCTCTTTTTCAAGACTGGGTTCTGCAAAAATCAGTGAAAATACCCAGAAGTCATCCGATTTGCCACACCACGGACTGCGTTCAAAGAGACACACGTTACAAAATGTACGCAACAGGAGAGTATGCAAAAGCATTGTTGTAGTTGAGACTCCACAGTATACAGGGTGAGAGTGCCACTGTTTTACACACATTTGACAGTTCTGCAAGGTCTTTATGTTTCATAGCGTAACAGACAAGCGGTTATGTTTTTATGTAGCTGACAGGCAGATCCAGAACACTCTCACAGACAGCAGCGTCTGCCAGGTACATGCAAAATGTAACCCCAGACCTTCCCTAAGGTTTACAAATAGGAAAGTATAATAGCAGATGTTAGAGATGGCTCACAGCCTCCAAAAACTTCCCCTAAATGATATCAGGCCCCTATTAGGAATAGTTGAGGTACAGTGATAACAGCCTTGCTATAATTTAGACAAAAGAAAGGGTTTTTCTTCTCGAATTCACTGGTTTACATTTCATAGGAATTTAAACACTGTATTTGAAATAAAAAAAAAACCAAACCAAAACACACACCAACAACATTGCCTGTGTTTGTCTGCTTTTAAATGCAAATATAGTGCCAAATGCACCATCTGCTACTGACAGACCATTTACATTCAGTGAACCAGACACTAAAGCAATTTTATTATTACCCCCAAAACTGTGTTTTGACTTTATACGCAAGTTTTGTTCAGGACTGCACCTATTTCCTGACGCTTCTTATTTTACTAAGCAGAACACAGCATTAACTTCCTATCCCATCCTACACTGCAGTTCAGCTCATTATTTCGGACAGTCATAAGAAACAAGGCAATTATTTTGCTATTTCATAGTACTACACCGCATTGAACAGCTAGACTAACCATTGGCTTTTTGCTATAATAATGCAGTAATAATTTCATTATGTTCAAATTAAAGCCAAAAAGGAAGTAAAATAAGTAAAAAATAAAGACCAAAAAAAAGGCATGACAAAAATCCTGGTAACTTTTCATTTTTGAGAAGTAAATTTTATATCTAGATCTAAAATTGCGAATGCAGATTATTCTCAAAGAAAAGGTGAAGAAAAAAATAAAATACTGCATACTTAGTTGAACTGAGACCCTCAATGGTTGACATCATTTCATCATAAATATCTTCCTCTATCCTTCCCTTCTGAGACGAATTTCTGAGAACAAAATAAAGTCCATGTCACAAATGCTATTCAGAAACAATGGCTACAGAGGACCGTACTTTCTCAGTACACAAGTGGGATAAGCTACCAGGGAAAAGTTAAACAAGAATGCTCCAAACTGCTAAACATATACATCCATAAGCACTTTACTAAGCATTTCTCTAGTTACTCAAATCATGCATTTTTCAAGACAATATTTTGATAAACTAAGAGAATGTTTCACAAGTGAAAATCATCTACTTAGTTAACTCAGTGGTACAGGTACCATTGTAAGCATTTCTACATATAGTGCCAATTTTTTATTACACTACAGTGGCATACATTAATACTACTAATCAAAGACGTATCTTGTATAATAGAATATATATTTACTTATAATATATATTTACTTATAATATTACATTAAACTGTATTTATTTTGTACTATAACATTTACAAACAAATCTAGCATCTATGACTAAGAAAACTAAAAGCTGCACAAGTGGTTACAATGTATACATGTATACAAAATATAAGGTGTTTTGATTTGTTTTCCACTGCTCTTTTAAGTCTCTTACTCCCCTACTCCCTTCCGTCCTGCTACAGCCCATAAAGTAAAATGCAACTTGAATGACTGAAGGGCCAGTGAGATGAAGGGGGGGCGGGGAAGCTCCTTTTAGAGTCTCCTAACAATAACAAACCTGAATTGAGAAGTTTTTTAAAGGCCAAAGATTTAGCTTAACCTTTCTAATGCAGGAATACCATACACACAGCGATTAATCAACCAAAAGACCACATGCTTACAGTACACTGAACTGCAAGAGGAGCACAGGATCACGTATTTTAAAAAAAGAGAGTACTTGACAAACCTATCAGAAGTTCTCTGGCGCCCGGTGGAACACAAAGGTATTTCCTAAATCAAATGAGGAATTAAGAACCAATTACACACTCAGTAAATGGCAAACAACTATTGAAAATAAACTTCAGAAAGCTGCCAAAAACATTTTTATTCACAAACAAAAATCAAGAACCATTCTCATATAGAAAAGCTTATAAAAACCAACCCTTTCTAGCAATGTTTTCTGCTTTAACAAGTGAGCGTTTTCTGACTAAAAAAATTGTTAGAAAATAATCGAACAGATCTTCCCTCTTATTTTTCTCCACACGCTGAAATAACTTACATCAGCAGTGGCAAGTAGACTGGAAATCACTTCCACAAACCTGAATGGACAGATACCTAATTTAAAATTTACTACAGCTATCTGTCCACAGAGAGTAGTACAGCCTTGCTTTGCCTCCAGAAGCACACACATTTCCTCCTTTCAACTTTCAGGAAGGGCAGATGGAAGGAAAAATGAGTTTTCTTAAATTTAAAAATCCTAACAATGTTAAGAATCCTTAATCTTAAAAATTCTTTACTGATAAAATCCTGTTTGCAGGCAGAACACGTGGAGAGACTGTTTATTTTCTATACAGTTTAAGTAAATTTTGAGTGCATCTGGAGTCTGGGATAAATTATCTTTTTTCCAAAACCACACGTAGCAAGCAGGACCCCAAGATGGAAAAACGCCAGGAAAAAAAAAAGAGAGTTTCTAAGTTTTACTTTGAAGGTTTACTAAGAGTATAGCATGCTAGAGATTGTCAGAGTTTGAATACTGTTAAGTTCTGACAGAAATAGTCATTGCACAGATACCTTCTTAGTTCTGTGTACACATTTAACACCAAGAGTAACAGCAGAAATTCAGCCACAAAAACCATGTCAGGTTTCGAGTTTCACACCATAGACATGAGGAGCAGCGTGCAATTATAGGATTACAATCCCTACTTCAAACCTCACCTTTCTTCGCCTTCCTTGTGAACTTGAAGAGTCACTGCTCACACTTTCTCTGTGGTTCAGGTGGGCAAAGGGCCTGGCTGCTCCCCAGGACTCTAAATACCGTGTCATCCTAACAGAGGCACGCATCTTCAGCCCATCATTAACTCTTGTTTTAGGGAGATGATTATTTGATACGCATTGTTTGGACTAAACAGAAAAAAACCACGCTCTTCTTAGAAAACAGAAGATGATACAAATTACAAAGAAATGAAGCTCTGTGTACTTCAGTAGTTTAGGACTATATAATCTAGCTATTTAGTAGGACTCCAAACACTTATCAGCAGGGTGTCAACCAACCTCGATTCCTTTATCTCATTTAATTAATGCAAGCTAAAGCAAATCATGACATAACGAATTTGCTTCAGCTACCTTTACAAGCCTTCACTTGTAATACTGCAGCATTCAACCTTCCTGGTTTATTTACAATGATGCGAGAGATCTCAGGATCTTACGAACAGATACAATTTCCTTACAGTCAGCATAACAGCAGGGGAAAAAGATTCCCAATTCCTGAGCTAGGGCGTATCAAAACAGCGGTTAGGAGGAGGATCCCACAAATTACAGACTTGACATTAGATTATATCCCTACACCACAAGAGAAGAGTCAGGCAGTATATACAGGCTATACAGCAATACCCTTGTGGGTCTACAAGGAAGCTAAAACTACAGAATAAACCAATGCATCAATGACTGGTTATTCTTTAACATTTCACAGGTATCTTCAAGTGAGCAGGGACCATTTTAATAGACCTAGATCCTAATTCTAAGAATATGTGCTGTGTACATGTAGGGGGGGTGTGCAGTGTTGAGTACATAAAACTCGCAACAAAGATAAGTGAGCTCTTGCTAATTAAAAGTGGCTCTATACTGTCCCTTCCTGTAAAGATCCTGAAGGAAAGAAGTTTGTCGTTTTCATTCTTTTTTCAAGTATTTTACTCGTCAACCACAAGCCGATTCAAAATAGCAATACTTCAGGTGTTTGCAGTTACCAGGCTCTAAAGGGGAAACCAACAGTTGCTAAATTTACACCTTGAAAAGAAGGTGAATCTCACATCTAAGATAGTGAGGAAGATTATGTCAGAAGCTATTTTACAAGGGATATTTTATCTGAAAGTGGCCACACAGTACAGATATTCTTTCATGACTTCATCTCACCTTTTGACCTGGATTTGAGACACACACTTCACGCAAATACATAGTCAAATATGTATTTTTACTCTAAGTGGACCACGTAAGAGGTTTCAGCGTAACGCTTATTACCTTCAAGCTAATAGACACGTCATAAAACAGGAGGATGTGCTTTCAGATCTGAAGTCCCAAATCCAAGCTACTCATGACTCATACCATGCTTTAATGCTGCTTCTGAATAAAAAAGGTGTATGCAGCACCACAGACTCCTATGTACTCAAAATGTATGTATATATTTGAATAAATATACATGTTTAAAAACATACACATACCCTTGGATCAACCACTAAATAGGTTTTGATATTCATGGATTCAAGGTAAGGATCCCTCAGGTGTCCATTCCCTTCTTCTACTTCATAAGCTTTGCCTAGGTGATTTAATGTTGCTTCAGTGATGTGTACACGGCTGAGAAGGGGAGAAAGAACAAGAGACACAAATACTTACAGAAAGGTCACATTAAGCATTTCATTTACATTTCAATAGCCACTGCTGACATTTCTGCTTTTCAGCCATCTTGTGCTTTGGCAGCCAACAGCAAAATCCTGCCCGTACTTAAAACAATATTTGCAATCCTTTACTGCAGTTCTTCATCACACATCTTTCATAGCAAGTATGCTAAAACACACTTCCCAGAATGAGATAGTACCAGTATAAAATTAAATTGAAATAAGCAGATACATATAAGAAATAAGAAGAAATGTGATCAAAGGACATCTGATGACTGGCAAGACAGACTCACAGGCAGGTTGTTTCAGATGGCAAGAGCTGCAGGGAAAGCTCACAAACGAAACACAAGCGAGGACTGTCTAACACTAGAAATGCATGAGGAGGGGAGGAGACGGTTACAAAGTCTGGACAAAAAAAGCTAGAAAAGGTTTTTTGTCAACTAGGAGGATAGTTCTGAAAGCCTGTCTTTTCTGATTGAAACAATCAGAGGAGAGCATAACACAGCAACAACAGCAACACACTTCTAAGGGGAGCAGCTAGTATTTTTCTGTACCCATTCACACTTTCCCTTAAATGTTATTTAGTTCAGTATCCCGAACCACGTATTTCCATATAAGTTATGAGTAATATCTTTCCATAGAATTTCTCAACAAGAGACTTGAGTGTGTTCATAAAATAGCATTTCTTTTCTTATATTCTACTTTCTCATTGTTCATCTTCCCACAGCTTTTCTCAGTTTTCTGTGTCATGGAGGGGCTAAACACTGTGCTGTCGGTCCTACAATCCGTCAGCACAGAGCTGGGAACAGAACATTTCCAGAATGGAAGCTGAGAGTGTGCAGCGCTCCTGCCTAACTACAGAGAGCAAGGGGATCACCATCCCATCCGCCTCTGCCACCTTACGCTGCATGTAGGTTTGCCTGAGGATAATTTAGCCAAGACCCAGAGACCACTGGCTGTAGCTTCCCACAAAGCAGAAAGAAGAATTCCTCAATACTTTTGGAGCCAAAAGGTAAGAATTTTGGAACATAGAGGATGCATGTTTTTATTTGTTTACTGGTAATTGTCTCAAAAAGCTGTTTTTTAATTGTTACCTTGATTATGCAGTTTTGCAATCGAGGCGAACCTTCAAATCTGAAATTTTAAAGCTTGCTCTAAAGCATCATTTTCTTCCGTAGAGACTGAGGCATACTGAGTGATGTCTGTATTAACTGAGCCTTAAAACACAAGTCAGGTACTGCAGCAAGTTTTCTGTGGTTCTCTACTTATCTCAAAAGGCAGTATGTTTGTTCACTATCCCCCATTTTCCATTTTACCAAGCTTCCTCTCCCCTCTTCCCCAAATCACACACTGCCGGAGTATATTTCAGATCTTACTGCAAACTTCTTCCCATTTAAATTACCATGCCAATGATTTCTCAGCAGTTACAAATGCTTACTGGATTCCAGGATCAGCACATAACCAAAAGCTGCTACTGCTAAAGCTGCCTCCCAAAGGCAAGCTGTAGCGTGCACTATTGCACTTACCATGCTAGTACAGAATACCTAACATATTGCACTCAATTTCCTATGCTAACAGGCCTGAGAATAACATATTCTGATCTTTCAGGCATATGCGTATTAGAGAGAACTGGACATAAATGCATTTTTAATTTTGGTTTTATGCTAGTCCTTTCTGCTTTACTAGTGTATTACATTGTTATGAATGCAAATAATTTTTAAAATTGGAAAGAAAATGAACAAGGATACTCTGTCAATGAAAATAAAATATTTATAACACTAGAAGTTTTCCTGCATCCTTTCAAAAGTCTTTAGAATTCCTTCATTTACAGAAACCCAATATAGATATACTCCCTATTTTAAATAAAAACCTCAAACTGCTCCTAATGACAAAACTTCTGCTTCCAAAGGAGCAGGACTAGCTAACATTGGAAAGGGGAATCCCAGGCACACCATTTTTCCGCAGAGCAGGAAACATATAACGTAACATTTGCATAACGAATAGAAACCCTTCCTCCCTGTGAGGCTGGCTTCCACAAGTGTAATGGTTCCTCTGGCTAGCTTAGAAGCACGTGATAAGCAAGTGCTAGACATGTATAGAGATAGGAAGTATTAAGTGTATGTTTCAGAAGCAGCATGCCAACCTAAACCAGTTTTATTCTTTAACGGATTATCAAACGTAAGCACAAAGAACGTAATGGAATAATCAAAGTTTTCAAGTTTAGGCAATGGTCCTAAACGTGACTAAGAAAAGTATGTGTTTGTGCCATATTCAGAGTCATGTTGTTCGCTTTACCAACAAAAGAAACTTTACAACTCTGTATTCTTGTTTAATCACGCTGAGTCAACACACCAAAACACTCAGCCTGGATGGTATTGCAACCGTTAACCAAGCTCCAATTAGTTTCCTTTCTGTTCGGTCACCAGTGCAAGAAAATAATTCAATATTCATATCCCCTTATCACTTTGCAGAAACTAATTTTTAAGTTACAAGCATATACCTGAAAGCTGTCTGAGGAATTGAAACAATAAGAAACCCTGTAACGTCCCTGGTTAGAATCACTTTCCAAGAGAAACCAGTACTTTAATGCTTAAACATAGACCCATGTGAATGCCATTCAACTAATAAGTACTAATTTGCACAGATTACCAAGAACCTACAAAATCATGGTCTCATTTGGGAATGGAAAAAGAGAAACCTTTAATACAAAAAAAAAAAAAAAGTTTCATAGCTGAATTCTAATCCCCAAATTCAACTTAGAAAATAGAGAAAAAAAAAAAAAACTTTCCTAAACAAGGAAAATACAAAATGCTGGTGTTTTTTTAAAGCATTTATATTCGTCCTTTTCAATGAGAACCTTAAAAAAGGCAGCATGAATATCAGGCTCAGCCCCAATCCTCTGCACTGCTGAGCAGCACATGGCAAGTTAAATTACTGCGTTGCCTTAGCTCTTCCACTCAGGACCACTCACTTTCCCTCCCGTTCTGCCCATGACAAATGCTACACAGAGAGAATACTCAACAACCAACACCTCCAAACTCTCCTTGCTTGGATGCTCCTCATCAGGCTGTATTTTAATTTCTGAGTTGTGTTTTTTTGGGGGGTGGTGGTAGTGAATATAGAGCTAATGTGAATATAGAGCTAATATAAATCAAGAGGGACTGATCAATATTTTAACAGAAACACTAGGTAAATATGCAGCTTTGCCTTGTCGACATAAGTAGCATATCTATTCTTTAGCTAAACTTACAAATATAGTATTATCCCTGTGCACACCATGAATTAACTAAATCAACATAATCCACTGCTGAAGATGCACAAGTTCCTCCAATGAAGGGAAGGTCAAGAAGCAGTCACTTTCCTAAGAAAAGAATGTTATAGTTCATTGAAAACAGAATCGGAAGATATTAACATTTTACAGTTCTGGTAAGTAATATGTTTGGTTTGTCCTATTTTCATCATCCCATTATGAGGATTTGTGCCACGGCACAGTTACCAATTCCAGAGTCATAAATCAGGATTATGAAAACCATGGCAGAGTGAATCAGCACCGACGGGGAAGATCCTCACCCAGGTACGCCCGCGGACTCCATGCGGTTCGCTAAGGACACATCATGCGACCAGACGTCATACTGCCACTTCCGAAGGCCGATTACACCGCACAGCACGTTCCCTGAATGAATACCAACCCTCATGTTGATATCCACTCCTGTGGCTTCTCTCCCCTGCCTATGGACAGAGGAGGGTATTAGAGCACAAGTTACACTTTTGATTCTCTCCTCCTCCTGGACATCTGTTAAGGTTTAGTCTCGTTATACGCTTAGCGCAAAGACAACAGACAAATTTATGAACTAATGCGTAACTATCCAACTACAGCTAATAAATACACTTTGAATGTTGACAAGAAAACTAAGAATGACTTTATTCAGTATCTTCATAGCCTTGATGCATTAAAAAGTCCTCTGTGCTATACTTACTTTATTGCTTCACACATGTCGAGTCCCATTTTAACACAGTTCCTGGCATGAACCGGTAAGGACACAGGTAGGCCTGACACACAGTAGTAACAGTCTCCCAGGATTTTTATTCTCATGCATTCATTCTCCTGTGAAATTATGGTAAACGTATTTAACAGGAAAAAATAGACTGCAGGTAGGCTAATGACACCAAAACTAGCATTTGTCTATATAATTTTGAGAAAGTCAGGCTTCATTCAATCCTTGTTGAAGCAAAGCTTACTTCTCTTTTCCCACATCCAAATGCCTGGATGTTGCTCACCACAGAAATGATGGCTTCAAGCATTTCTGAAATAAAATCATTTTACTAGTTTCTCACTTTATTTTTGGAACTGTGTGCAATTGAGAAACTATAAATAAAAATAAAACTGTCACGGAATTTACCATCTAAAGGATGAAATCTCCTTATCTATCTTTTAATCTTCGTCTTTATTAACATCTGAATTATAGGTAGTTTGTTCACCTTTTCCTCAGTTTTTGCATGGCAGCCTCATAAGTAACATTGTGCAGTGTCGTAAAACCTGCACAGAATTTAGGGAGAAGTTAGGAAATAAGATGCCCAACCTGGTAGCTTTGCGGAAGCAAAATGATTTTTTTTGTTTCAAATATGATTGAAGAGGAAGCCAGCACACACTAGTTTGCTATTGCTAATAAAAGATAAAAATTTAAAAAAAGGCAATACTATCTGGCAGCAGAAAGCTTTTTCCTAACTGTGCAACAGAGAAGACTGCTGCCCACGACTGGCTGGAGAGAGGAAAGGGGAAGAGCAAAGAGCTCCTCATACTGTCTTTTGTTAAAACATTACTGAGGAATTTTAACTACAAAGGTTGCAAGCAAGCCAGCGCTAATTCTGCCAGGCTGTATAGTGTTTGACTGATGAGTAAAGATGGCTTAATTTGGGCCAGCCGACACCTTCAGCTGCCCAACTGTCCCTGCTGTGGGAACAGCCCAGCAATTCTTCAATCAACACCAAAATCGGCCCAAATCAGCAGCAATTTACCAAACTAAGCTGTTCTCCCTCATCAGTCAAAGCCTTAAGAGAACATCCATCATTCTCCACCATCTTAAGCCATCCAGTAGGTTCTGAGCATTGCAGCAAGCAATAAGCTTAGACAGCTCTGTGCTTCAGTTTCAGAGATCAGCAGGGAACCTAGCCCTAGATGAGAGCTGTTTGACTTCAGTATCCAGCTCAGTGTCCAGGTTAGCCACTGACTTTTATTAGGTAAACTGGAGCCTACGACATTTTTACGTTATGGAAAACATGACTGAGAGTACTCCCCAGAAGAACAAAAATAGAACAAAAAGGAGGAATCTCTTCTTACGGCTCAACCACAGAGTTGTGAAAGACCTTGACTCACTAAATCCAGACATTTTTTAAACAGTGCAATTTGCAGACAGGAGTGAGAAATTAAAACATATCACTCAAAATCTGGAATCTTTTCTATTTTTGTATCTGAGGAACAGCTGCAAAAAAAATGACCAACCTCAGCTTCCACTTTGGCATAAGAAGTTTGTGGCAACTAAGATGACATGACTTATTCTGTGTCTCCTTGATAGCTGCTTCGCAACAATATAATTACAATACAGTTAGTACAACTCTCTTATTTGCCAGTACTTGAAGTTTTAACAGCAACTGAATTCATATAAATACAAAGATTAGCAATGTCATTTAGTCAAAAAGGTTAACTAGGATTTTAGCCATATTCAATGGTATCCACAAAGGTTTAATTAAAGCAATTTCACTCCTCTGCTATATTAATAATTTTAGCGTTTTCCCACTTTTTCTGAAGAATTTTTAGAATTTCATAAAAGGCAAGATTTTCCAAGTCCATTAATTTTCTAATTTGCATTCAGTATACCCAAATATAGTCAACTATGAAATCGAACCAACATCTTTAAACCTTTGGAAGTTTTGATAGGTGGTCATTAGTCTTCACTTATGCTTTACCAATGCTAAATTTCTAGAACCAGACTGTGGGCAGTATTTCTTTTTATGATGTCATGTAGGATGCAACAAAATGCAGCATTTATTTTCCCAAAGCCATATTTGCCTCATAATACTAACGGAAAAATCAATGGATATGACAGAACATATATCCAAGATTAGAGTCAGTTTTAGAGGATAACAGAAATCATCACACAGAGTCAATCATGCAAACATGTATATGATACCGTCCCTGTAATCTGAGAACTCAAAAACTGAGTTTGTGATTACAGTTGCAAAGAAATTAACCTCAAGCAGCACTTGGAAGTGGTAAGAACTATAGGCCAGCCTGAAGGGTCAGTTGTGAGGGTATGTCTTAATACGGACCATTTTCATTTACTTCCCATTCTTACACTTTTCTGTAAGTATCCATCACTAATTATCACTCCTGAGCTAAAGAGCTCCTTAGTCTGATGCAATATGACTGAATTTATGAATTTAAACGTGTGCCTGAGAGTTCTCCATTTGTAAAGCCAACAAACAATCCTTCTAACTGAACACAGCAAAGCTCCTTAATAGAGTTTGTATATAGTACCTCTCACAGCCCTCTTCAATCATTTATTGCCATCAGACAATTCCCTGAACAATGCAGATAAACCTCCAGACTCAAGAACTGGAATTACAGTAACTTGCTAAATTTCCAAGTTCTGTTTTAAATTTTGTTTTAATGTGATTTTGCTAGTTAGCTTTAAAGCAAAAGCAGTCTTCCCTTCCTGACTTCAAAAGCACTAACACCAACTGCCTTCTGTCTTGCGGAAAAGGTGACTTCTTTTTCCAATGGCAGCCTTTTTCCCTACTGCACAACAAACTGCAACACCTACCTTTGCAATCTGATCAAACTTTCCAAAAAGTTCATTCAGCATCACTACTAGTTCCTTAGGAGAGCAGTCACTGGCAAGGCGAGTAAATCCTACAATGTCTGCATAAAGAATGCTAGACAAGAACAAAAGGAAAAAACAACATAATTGAGATATGAAGATATGTCTATTCCACAGTCAGCTTAAAGATTAAAATGCGTTTAAGAGAAAGCATCTCTTTCTTTGGAAAACAACTCCAGAAAAAAGGGTTCGAGTATCTCAACTGATTTAGAGGACAGCACATCAGTTCAAGACACGTTATCTTCCCACAACAGGAAAGAAGCTCACTTCAGCCTGAACGTCTACCTCCAAATTTTAATTTCACTGGACCATATACATTGTTAAGAATCAGCAGCTTATATTAATACAATTACTTCTAGAGTTTCTACTTACCTAACATTTTGGTGCCTTTTTACATATAGACTGTGGAAGTTGTTGTCATGTGTTTGCCTATTATCATTAGTTTCCTTTAGTCGCTCTATGATTGCTAGCTTCATTTCCATAGAGATATGAGCTGGCAGTATAGATAAAAGCAAATTTTCCTAAAAGGAGAGGGAAAACAAATTAAGAATTTTGCATCATTAACACAGTAAATTTGAAACTGTAGGATTTTAGTGACTGCAAGAAGGAATTAAAAAAATAAAACACCTTTATTCAAATAGCTTGAGTAATGCACGCCATGTATTCCCGAAAAGACTTCTACATTTCTGTTCTCAAAATCACTGATTTTACAGTTAAGTAAGGGTGTTGCATTTTTTTTTCTTTTGTTCCTTGTGACCTAGATGTCACATCTCTCTGTAACCATGAAACACACAAAAATGCAGTATTCAGTATTACAGTTTCTAAATGGAAGCTTATTTTGTCCACCAATCTCAGTGTTGTATTAGCATTGTCCGATAAAGCTTCTGGTAAAAGCTTATATTCTACAATAAACAACCTATGCAGTATTAAAAATCCTTGTGAATTCTCAAATGCTGGAAAAGCAGCAACAGATACATAAGTGTTGACAACATGCTGCTATAGCTTAAATGAAGTGATGCCACTGAAATGAAGTCTTTTGAACTGAGTGAGAATACAGACTCTTCAAAAACCACTTACATTGTTTGACTATCCAGTGCACTGTCTTACACTGGCTTTGATTGAAAAGCCCGTTCTTCAAAGAAGACCCTGCTAAGTTGCTGGGCAGAAGAGGAAGACAAAAAGAGAGTACTTTTAACCCAGGAAGGGCTCTAGCGCCCCAGAGACAGTCACCACAGAAGAGGAAATGTTGCGTGGAGCAGCTACAAGCAGGAACTTTTTCAGATGACATCGCCAGCAAGGTCAACACATTGTGTAACTGAGTAAAATGCTGTCCCTTTGGACCAAATCTTTATCCCCTTTTCCTGAATACCTGGTGCAGCAGTATGAAGATAGCAGTAAGCTGCCAGGGTTACTTAACCAGTGCCTGCCACGAAAAAGAAATGCCTTGGGATCACAGTGGGAAGAGGGAGTCCTTGAGCATCAAGTACTGGCCTACGACTAGCTACAGACAGCAGTTTAGTTTGGGACTGCCTCCAGAAACATCTCCTTCCCCTCCTCTAGTGTTTTAGTACTGAGAGAGTCAACCCTGGGGAACAATTTAAACTGACAGCAAAGCCCCAGTGAATGTAACGGGGCCATTTGAGGCTAACACACTACACAGTTTTCAAGGAAGTGATGTCGAACCCCAAACTGCATTTCACACATTGTTTTCACAGAGAAAAAGTGGGTGGCAAAAAGACGACTCAAAATTGGTGACAAATTACAACACAGATTAAAAGAAAGCTGTCCATAGACTTAAGCACATCTACACTTCAAACAAGCAACCATAAAAAAAAAAAAAAATCAAAAAACACAACATGCAAGTTATCACCTCACCCAAAGAATGAGAGCACACTGCCTGTGTAAGCTGATCAGATGCTTCCTTGGCTGCTGTGTGGGGAAATTCTGCCAGGACTTTCATGCAGATTTGTCATCTCATCTCACAAGATTAGCATCACAGGACAGATCGCACTAGCAGTGCGGCATTTTCTGCCTTTGAATTTGATGAGGTCGGTCACTTTTCAGCCCCTTCCTTTTATCTAATAACTGGTGGGCAGAGTACTCGGTACACATCAGCCTTCTAGAGCTGCTGTTCTTAACCCTACTTATACCAGGATAAGAGAGGAAAGGCGCCCTAGTTTCAGCTTTGATACTTCTTTACAATCCTTCCTCAGTAAAAAATTCAAGTTGATTGCTTGTTTTTTAAATACCACTGGAATTTATGGAAATAAAGGATGTCATACTCAGATATTGTAATCTATTATACAATTTTTCTCTCACTTAGGGTCCAATTTTCTTCTTCCAGCAAAAGAAAAATAGTTTGCGAGACAAGAAATTACAAGAACAAATAATACTTTAGAAGTCAAAACAAAAAAATGCAACGAAGGGAAGCATGAAACTAACTGCTGAAATTATCTTACAAGTATTTTTCAGGGCATTAAAGGCATGTTCCTTTAAGTTACCTTGGGCCAATCCCAGTAACTTTTTATACTAGGAAAAAAAGTAACTAAAATAACTGGCAATTACATTCCTGTTACAAATACTGTGATTTTCATATAGACACGCCACAGTGAACAGCTTCCTCCCTTTAACTTCCTTCTTTTGTTACAAATGGCACAACTTTTATTTTTGACACTAGGTGGGTATCACAAAGATTGGACCAAGACTTTCAACATGCATTAGTCACCAACCTTATAAAATGATACAGACTTTAGAAATGAAAACAAGCAATTCATAACATGAATTAGTTCACTCACTTGTTGCCTCTTTTCAATCTTCAGTTTCATTCGGACCTGAATGCACTTTAACGTGTATCGATACAAATCCCACGAAGCAACCTGCATTTGGCGTTTGTGGAATGCACCCATCAGGTTACCACAAAGAAAAATGACAGCATTGGCAAGTAGCTGCACAAGAAGAAAAATATTTACCTACTGCAGAACAGTCGTTGATAGTTCACTAATACACATACTAGGTCCCTTAAAAACAAGCAATCCCAGGCCACGTTCAATTTTTCTCTTACCCTGTCACACACCAAATCACAGTGTTGCAATTAGCCAGGATGTACCTGGGAAATATAAGCTAACTTTCACAGTCATGGGCATTATTCTGCTGTATCATGTAACATTTATTTGCAGGCACCAGTGTTTCATTTAGGGAGAAACCAGTCTACAAACTCATGCATCAGCGTGCTGTGTGAAGTCTGACACACACCTGCATCAAAAGAGCTGGAGTGCTCCTTTGAACACACCCTGTTAATAAGTGTTGGGAACCCTGAAAGCACCCAGTAGCACTCCCAGGCCCTGCTGACTCCCCAGGGCAGCAAGAGCCCTTTTGATCCACCCTGTAGGCAGTGCCAGATGGAGTTAGACCCATCTGAAACAGCACAGATTGGAAAGAATGATTGTGACAAAGTTTGTCATGTTTTGAGCAACTTAGTTAAAAAATTAAAATAATAATTCTGCTTCTTCCGCTTAAGTCAGAAAATGAAAATGCATTATAGATTAAAATAATTGCAATTTTATGAAAAGCATGCAAAACACATTGGGCCCAAGCTCCAAATCCATGAATTTGGAACATCCATGTGAAAGTTTGGAACTTATCTAAACAGGATAGTTATGCCAATATCAAATGGTAATACAACTAGGGTATTTAATTACTTAAACAAGTAGTGTTTCCTTACCTGAAATAGAATGGACTCCTTATTTTCCTGAGAAGTCATGCTTACCACAATGCTTAGAACAATAATATGGGAGAGAGCAGAAAGAACGCTAATTATGACAGCACCTCTCATCCCAAAGGGTAGCATGGTATAAACTGTGAAGATTATGAATAGAAAGAATGGCACCTTTGGAAAGAAAGAGAGAAAGAAAGGGGGAAAACAAACAAACAAACAAAAAGACACATATACGTTATTAGGTGCCTGCCAAAAATCACTACCAAACAAGGAGGAAAGCAGCACGATTCTTGCTCATTTTCAGGCTGAACAATTATTGATGTTTCAAAAGCACAATTAAAAACATAAGGACAGTGGCAGTCCTAAAACTTTGAGGGAATTAGCAGCTGTAGATTCATACATAAGACAGTTTACGTATCACCTTTAAGTTTTTCAGTTGTCCTTGCCCTTCATCCTTAATTTATCCATTACAGCTGAAGATGCACTTTGTACATCACATATCAGGAACAGCGTGTTGCAAGGATAGCAATATTGAACAGAATCAGATTTCTCACCTTCTCCAAGTTGTTATTCTAATTTTAACATCGCCTGATCACGTGTGTGTTTATTCCATATTTGATAAAAACCAAAATATCCAACCAATACTTCCTGGTGCTGACACAAGAGGATAATCATTATTGCCACTAACTACATATTTAGCTGCACAGATTTTACAAAATGCACAATGGTCCACTAAACTGCTAGGGATCAGAAGAAAGGTCTATAAAACCTAAATCCATATTTATAGATTTGTCACAGTGTTTAGCTCATACATATGGAAACTAACAACCCTGATCAGAGCAAAATACTGCAGTGTTTCTGGCTCAGCTCCATCTCATCATTACAACTCAACTTGTGCTGTTCCAGACATGAGCTTCCTTCAAGGAAGTCTCAAAGCCCAGACCACACTTAAATGTTTTGCCGGAATAGACAGCTTGGTTGGGGCAACAATAAACAAGCAAGCAAGCAAATAGAAGTTTTCATTCAACAAAAGTAATCTTTTCATGTTCATCTTTACTATTTTAGCTGCACTAAAAAAAACTTTTTCTGCCATACATACAACCCCTATCACACAATGTTCTGAATGCTGTGTAATAGTTTCACAAGTGTGGACAAGCAAAGGTCATACCTGCATTTAAATAGTAGCTTTAATTAGTGATAAATTCATAACTTGAGATAAAAGTCTGAAATGAACCTATTCACTTCTACTTTCTAATCTAGGGTCTCCATATATTTTAGGCTTTAAATCAACATTAATTAATTATTACCACATGACAACAACAGAAGACATTGGCTTGCAGCACTGACAGCAGCAAAACCAAATCTTGCTTTGTTACATGTTTGTACTTACAGTTAAGAACAGTAAATTTTGTTTTTTCCTAAGGTAATAGCTCCTTCCTAAGTTAAAAAATACTGAATAGCAACTGTAAATACATGGTGCTGGATCTAGGCCATAATACAAATCAGATTTTGGTTGTTTAACTGATAATTTATATCTTTCTTTCTTTGAAATAAAGAGGGGAAAGGGAAGAGTCAGTAAAACAAGATAAAAAGTCGTTTTTATGTCATTAAAAACTATTCTGTTTACATTATGAGAGCTTAGGAGGAGTTTCCTACAGATTATGATATTTTTGGCATCGTGAAATCGCCCGTCTTCTGATCAGAGATACTAAGCAATGGACTGTAGCCACACCCAACTATGCCAGGATGTGTCATTAATTCTTATTGTTCACTCCACCTCTCCCATTGATTTGAAAACATGCTCCCTAGGGCACACCCAGCTCTAGAGTCCTTTATACATTTCTTGAACACCACTTTGACCGATATAAATTAACAAAGCAAGTATTATTAATGAAAAATTCTCTTAAAGATTGATTCATACTAATTAAGATTTAGTAAAAATCTTAAATAAAAATACAATTAAATTACAACTTAAAGAGGCAATTGCCGTATAGATTTATGCAGTTATCCAATTTTCTCAGCTGAGCTGTATTTTCACTATAATAAAGAATAAAAACTAAAATTGACTATAATAAACCAATAAAACCAATTTAGGAAAGTGAACTTAAATCTCAACAAAAAATTATTATGCCGTTATAACATTCAGAAAAAATGAAGCACACAAACATTCATATATACGGACTACCAGTTCTGTGTTAAGTACCTGAATGAACAAGATACACGTACCTGTTCCCACAGTTGATAATCATTTTTTCTTTCAAAAAGAGATACATATCCTACGATTAAGAAGCAAATCCAAATCATAACTCCAAATAACGTTAGCCATCTCCGAAACAGGGATTCAATACATAAAAGTAAGTACATGACTGCAAATATGACAAGAGCAGCACATACTGCAATAATGAAGGCAAGATGATGATGTGCTTCCTGCAAAAGCAAAATGAAGTGTTATATTTGGTTTAAATGTCCCCTTTAGAAAAAAGGGAAAATGCATCTATACTGTCCTGGAAACTGCTTAGGTAGCTTTAAAATATGCTGACCTGAGTTCCTAAGTAGTTTAGCTGTGGCAGCATTAACACTTTGATATTCACACAGATCATATAATAAATACTATTACAGATACCCAGTCTACCCCAGTTCCATCGTTATTATTTCCCAAATAATAACGGTTGGTTTTGTCTTTTAAGCTAAGTTCTAACTATACTATATTGTACAATGCAGATGTACCCAAAGAAATGCATTTAAAGAGTTCAAGCTTTGATAAAAAGGAGCATAACAGCTCTTTTCCTAAATTTTACAGATTACTTGTAACATACAAATAGTGTTGCTACTTCTTCCCTTTTTTAAGAAATAAAAGCTAAAAGGAATACAAGTGCAATTGGTACGATTAGATTTGTTGCTAAAGAGAGACTTAAAGACACTTTACCATGAAGCACAGTATTGGAAAGCTGTGTTAGAAGGCAATGAAGGGTTACAACAGCTTCCTTATTACCTTTTTACAACATTATCTTTAAATCAACTCCCCTTTTTACCAGCTGTCAACCAGGCTGGCTTGAAGAACACCTAATTTCTTTACAGAAAATCGTATTATGCTACATAACAAAAAATTCTTTAGGCTGCATGTTTCCTATGCCTATAGGATCCCTGCTCTTTGCTAACTAACTATTGATTCAACAGATCACCTGTTGTACTGGGAGATTGCTGTTGTGTTTTTATTACCAAAAAAAAGGAATTAATATCTACAAATCCTTAAAAAAAAAAAAAAATCCACTCAGGAATTCATAACCAATTAATCGTTACATTATTTTACATTTCTTAGATAACTCTAAAAAGAAAATATGAGACATGCAGGACATTTTAACTTATGTTCTTGTTCCTTCCTTGGCCCCTTTATTACTTATTTACTATTGTAACTACCATTTAGCCTAGATTATGATTTGCTCATAACATATAGGAAGGAAGAACAATCCTTACAGTAACTGTGCATGTGTCTGACAACACTGTCCCCTCTCTTCTGGTCCTTCAAAAACATACACAGCATTACATACACAATTACCTGATTTCTTTCAATATTGCAACTTTCATACCATGTGTCTCAAAAAATTATTTAGCCAGAAATGTTTTCTGTGCTGTTACAGTGATTCGTCATCATCTTTGAAAACATCGAACACAAAGAAAAAAGTATACTCACATCAGTGACAAAAAAGATGATAATTAGAGTAGTCCAGAAGAGGATTGCAATGAAGAGCAGCAATAGCAGGAGTGGATGCTGCTGGCTTGTATAGCGGTACTTCTCATAGAGCGGGTCTGATATCCTGCAGTCATCATTTTCGTTGAAGAAGTATTTACCCTTAGCTGGCATTTTCTCCCAGGTTGGCTGCTATTTCTCTCAGTTCCCAGTGTACACAATAAGACACAGCTGAAGCTACTGCTTCAAAGAGAAGTTTTGTCTTTTCGCTGCTGCCTCTGCGATCTTTAGGCACACTGAGTAACCCACGTTCTCTGATTTTACTTCTCATGAGCATTAACTTCAGATTTCCAATGCAATCAAAAGCAAAAGAGTTAGCCTCCCCAAAACCACAGGCAATTCATCATCAGCTCTACGCATGAACCTCTAGATCAACTTGTATTTGTGCAGATAGAAGTTTCTGGCGTGGGTTTTCTTTTTTTGTTATTATTATTATTTTGCAAGTCTTGAACTCCTTTCCATAAGTTTGAATCTCACTTCCTGGGATGAACTCTGCAGAGAGACAGTATTATTAAATTAATGTATTCAGTTAAGTGTCCACAGCATTCCCCAAGGAGGGGGGAAAAAAAGTACATTCCTTAAACTTCCTATCTGCATGCTCTAACCAGTGAGCAAAAGCTGTTTCTTGCTGGCGGGGTGGAAGCCCAACAGCCCCGTGCGTGGGCAACGCTGCCCAGCAGCCGCAGAGGCAGGGCTCGGGCAGCGCTCGCCAATGGCTGCTCTACGCACACCACTGCACCCTTCTCTAGCAATTGAAACATTTTCATACGAAAAGTGTACGAAATCTATTTTGTTTCCTTTTGAGCAAATGACAGTTTCCATGAGCATGTTGTGTAACTGAATACTAACAACTCTTTTGAAGTGATATGTGTGCCTGTGTGTATGTGTGTATATATATATATCTTTAGTCACAATACACATTATTTGTATTCTTTTTCAAAATATGCATCTTAATTTTTAAGAAATCCTTTTCTTTATTCCTTTCACACTTTAATTAAAGGCATAGAAAATGAAAAAAGAATATAGCTGTCCAAGCCAAAATCCATTAAAATTTAAAAAACGAAACAAAACAAAAAAAACCCCCACAAACCAAAACTTAACATCTAGTTCAATATACTTCATTCAGCTCTAATTAATAGTGTTTCCAAGGCAATAGGTGTGTTCTGTTAACAATGAACATTAAGGAATGAACTGTATTGTTAACTACTAATGACCAATGTTTTTCAAATAGATTTATGAATATAGTTCACTCAATGCCAAGAGACATAAAACAAAAAAAGTAGGGGGATGGGATGGAGGGAAGCATAAAAAACAGGATTTCAGGAGAAGTCTTATTATAACTTGATAACAGGACAACAGCTTCTTTACCACTTGACTGCCGTCACCATGGTGCCCAAGGCCATTGCTTTGGGGAGAAAGAACCTGCTAAAAGACTTGTAGGAAAGCCAAATCCTAGCCAGTTACTCTCAAAAGGCAAAATGCTTAACCACACACGTGTTTAGACTGCATTCACACTACAGCCAGAAGTGCTGTTAATGGAAAAGTTTCAGAAACCATACCGAGTGATTTAGCGTATGTAAATAGAGCCAAGCGCTAGCATACTACCCAATCATTAATGACCAAGCAGGCAAAAACAGATATACTAATACTGAGACTGAACAAAAAAAAAAAAAAAAAAAAAAAAAAAAAAAAAAAAAAAAAAAAAAAAAAAAAAAAAAAAAAAAAAAAAAAAAGTGAACTTTTGCAGCACAATGAGTAACTACAACTTCTTGCCCAGAGTATATCACAAACTTAAATTAATCACAACAAGAGAAAAGACCCTATTGCATCACTTCTATTCAGTAACAACTAGAATAAATTCACATACTTATTAAAAACTGAAATAAAATTGAAAACGTCTTTCAATACATCTTCCCCATGTATAGTTAATGGTACACCTAATATCTCACCTGTACTGGTTATTACCAAGCTTTTCTTCATAATAAAAGGCCTCCCATTTTTCACCTGAAAAAATTCTTCTGGTACTCATACCATCCGCGTGTGCATAATAATGCTCTTGCAAAGGTGTGTGAATGCATCTTAGAAATCACTGACACTTAAAGTAAAGGAGATGCCAAAAAGAAACTGAAACATTCAAATCATGCCCTAATGCATTTTCCAAGTCATACAGGTGACTGCAGAATTACTTCACTTGAGTGTAGGCCAGTTTCTTCTGAAGAGGAAACTATCAGAAGGTGTGCACAGGGGCAAGTATTTTAATCTGAATTTGCCTTTCCGTAACAAAGACAACTTGCTATAGACAGTGGGAAGGTTACGACCATGATGCACCAGAGAGGCAGACAACTCACTGAACCGCCTGAAGAATTCCTTTACCAAGAGGGTGGGGGTGCAGGTATGCACTGCCTGATGGGATCCTCCATACATAAAAGACGACAGGCTTGCTGTCCCTGTTGCCTCTAAAAGTGTATTTTTAGAATAAAAACAATGAAAAAGTTAATATACTTGCAGAAGTATTGATTTTGAGGGTAATTTTTATAATAGGTATTTTGAGAGGCAGCTTTATTTTTCCAGTTAGCAGAACCAAATCCATTTTCTAAAAATAACTATTAATTAGTTATATAGTACATACAGTAATACATTCACAATTATAAGACACAAATAATCCTGTCTTGGGCTACTTAATATTGAAATCCAAGAAAAATGACTTCACAGCTTGCTTTCTGTAATTTATTCTTCTGACAATGAAAAAACAATTCCAAGGACAATCTCTATTCTACAGAACTACACTTTCTGGCTATGGTTCAGTTACCTAATGTTCAGAAGATAAAAAAATATGTCAAATGTCAGAACTATCTCTGAATATTATTTTAGAGTTTTACAGGACACCAAGTTGAAGAGACATGTCTCTTCAATGGTTCAATCCATTTTAATAAAAAAGAGATTGCTACCTTATCGATTTGTTTATTCCTCCACTGATCTTCGTAGATACACATTACAAGTAATTTTGAATGACTCCTGGGTCATAGCATTTTCTTCTCAAAACTCTATTAGGTAAAGAAACCCCCAAACAGTACTTTATTGGTTTACCAAGAACCTATAATACACTACATAAATGCTACTTCGAGATTAAGAATTCAACTCTGAACTAGTTTCAGTTTGCATCCCGTGTCCCACTGCCACTACCACCCCCCTTTTTAAAAAGTACCACAAAGCAACTTGTGCTCCTTCAGTACAAGTTAAATATTTTTGAAATTGCAAATTACTTGCAACACACAAAATCAGCTATTTGAGAATCATGCAATTATGCATTAGTTGAATAAACACATTTTTACATGTGACAAACATAATGACCTGCAATCATCATCTTACAATCGAAAACAGAAATATACAGACACACACGCATACTAGTACAGGAATTGCATTTCAGCTCCAAAACCACTACAAACACTTAAGCAGCTTTTTGCCTTTTTTTTTTTTTTTTTTTTTAAAACATTTCTGGCATTACCTCTTTCTGTTAACACACACGACTATCTTTTAAGAAACTTTAATAGACTTAGCTGAAAGTCACCACTTCTTGTGCCCTTCCCCCTTCTCTGAATTTTTTCCAGCAACCTTCTGAAAACGTAGAAGACAGACTTGAGAGAGAGAAAAAAGATTCTGTCTCACAGATGGCATCGCACACTAGTAAAATCATCAATTTAACACACTTCTGTTGATATATTTAAGGAACACGTGAGCACTGTGCACCACAGCATCACTCTTGCTTTTTTGGTCATTGTTTCTTGGAGATTTGCCGTTCTGACACCACAGGAGAGGTGTAACCCTGAAATGGCAACAGGCTGCAAAAACCAAACAGCACTCCCAGAAGCACCAGTAGCAAACACACCAAGCCAAATGGGGACTGGATCTGGGCTGCTGCCATAAAACCATGGAGCTCTGATTATCAGTTTATCAAGAAAAAGCCTCATTTCTTTAGAAGCCTTTGCTGTGTTCTGAAGAATTAGAAAGGAGAAGGAACGATCTGTCAATCAGATTAGTACATATAAGAAACAACCCCAGCAGTATGGGTTGGAAACTGCACTGAGAACCTACAGGAACGTCTACCAAACAATCAAATACGATTTAGTCAGATCGGGGTGAACTCCACAGCCATCTCCATGCCTATTAACATGAAAATCATTTGGTCAGATAAAGAAATTTGCCCAGTGAATATGTAAGAACAAACACTGGACATGGGATGGGCATAAAAAATTGGACAATAGGATTCCTTCCAGAACATGAATTAGAACAGCTACAGCCTTCCAAATCTACTCTGTTTCAAGGCATTGGGAAAAAGGTTGTGTTCAGATTCAGCAACAGAAACTTCTCTAGGTAAGAACTGGGCAAGACCTGGTGCACATGCACAGCCACCCTTCACCTGCAAGCCAAAGAGACAACATTTCTATCTTCCACAAATCTGGGTATTTCTGACTGCTCTATGCTTTCCTTCCCATAGATAGAAATTTTCAAGCATCGCTAAATTCTCTGGTCTCCCACTGACAAAACCATAGGATTTTGTTACAAAAAAATATGACAGCAAACATTTCATTAGGCTACTAGGCTTGCACTGAAGCTCTTTTGTTCGCCCAGGCTAGTTAAAACTGTCCACAGTGCTTTGTGTCAATACACAACGTTTTCTTAAGAATTGGCCTGGACTCAACAGCTGCAGAATGGACATGACCGTACTACAGAGCCTAGAGAGACCAAGTGTTTTAAAGAAAACTAGCTGAAACATGATATCATGGGCTACGCTAACAAGTCATATTACAAAAGTCAGAGAAGCCTCTTTCTTTTGCAGTTTGCTCAAGATAAGTAGCTACAAAAGCCAGTCTCTTCACAAGGAAAACTAATCAGGGAACATGCATCACACAGACCAATCCTTTACTTTGAGGCAAAGCAGAAAGTTCAGGGCAGCAGAGGCAAATCAGCCGATGGGGTGAGCACACAATTCCTTGTGCCTCCAAAGCAGCAAGGACTTTCCTCATTTCCCATCTCCAGCCTTCTCATAAACAATACGCAATGTATCACTAGGTAACTGCCTTCCCCCACACATTTACATTGCAGGCATATTTTAA